GGGGGGGGGGAAGTTGCCCTGGCACCAGTCGGAGGTATTTTCTCCAGGTGTATTGGGGTCAAGGGGAGGTTTTTCTAGAGGTCACTTCTCCGGCACCAGTAGGCAGCACTCTTCTGTGGGAGAGGGCATGGGGATAGATGGGAGACCCCTTTCAGTCCACACATGCAGCAGTGCTGGAACGGGTTAATCCCTGCCTGGCGGCAGTGAGTGGGTGTGCCATGCTGAATGAGCCAGGCTTGGTTCTGGGCAGCCAAGCCCTGAGCGAGTGAGTGTGCAGAGTGGTTGGACAGGTTGTGTGGAGGCAGAGCAGGAACGTGCCGGAGGAATGGGGGTGGGGTGAAGCACAGAAGGTAAGTGCAGCACAGCCTGCTGCACACTCTCCCACCACCTCTCCTGGCATTCCCTTCTGGGGCATATGGGAGCCCCCAGTTTGGCACAGCAATGGACAGGGACAGTGGTAGGACATCAATCCTGCAGAGGCTCTTGGCTAACTTGGAGCTGCGGGATGAGGCTGGGCGTGTTCGGCACTCAGAGCAGTTGAGTGCTCCCTGGATGGGCGCGGCAACTGTGAGTACGCAGAAAGAGTGCACCTTCTGGCCCCCTGGCAGTCAGGCTTGGGGTCCAGCTGCAGAGGGGTAGGCAAGGGATCCTGATGGTCTCTGCTGCTGCCCTGCTGGCATGCCCTATTCCTCCAGGTTGTCTGGTGATGGGCAGGAGGGCTTGCAAGAGGTGAAGAGGCTGGGGGCGTGCCACAGGAGCTGCTGAACTAGAGACCTCCAGAATAGCCTGGTGGAGGTTACACTCAGAAACAGGATGCCTTCCCATCCAGGAGGGTGGGGAACAGGTGATGCTGGGGGTCAGGAGGGGGCCTCTTTACTCTCCCGTCCACAGGTTAACCTGGAACCCCAGTGCTGCAGCTCCAGCTGGGAAAGTACTTAAGATGGAGTGCTTCAAGCTCAAGGGGGTGCCACAAACCCAAGGCGGGTTCTCTTCCTTTCTGTCCCGTAGCAAGGCTGCTTTGGGGTGGAGGGGACAGGACTGTCCCAGCTGGGTCTCCACATTTATCCTTGTCCCAAATTCCCTTTTCCTCTAAATCACCTGTCTCCCTCCCTTTCTGCACAGGGTCTCCTTGGCTGGTCGCGGAAGGACCTGCACAGTGAGTTTGGCATTGGAGAGGCCCACCAGGTCAGTGACTTTGACTGGGCCAGTGAGCCTGGCTCTGGGAAGAGAGACTGGCCCAGTGGGTATGGAGCAAGCGAGACCGAACAAGACCGGGCTTTTGGCACCAGTAAACGTGACTGGGCCAGTGCATACAGCATTAGTGAAGCTGATCGGCAGGATGGGGTGTTTGGTGTCAACGGGAAAGAGTGGGCCAGTGAGTACAAAGGGACAGAGGTAATGGGGGATTCCAGCACTGGGCACAGAGACTGGCCTGATACTTATGGCCTTGGGGATGGCCAGCATCAGGATGGAGACCTGAGCACTTCCAAGCCAGACTGGACCAGCCAGTACAGCATTGGCAGCAGTGACAGCCAGGGTATGGAATTTGGCACTGGGAAGCCAGACTGGACCAGCAGCTATGGTATTGCAAGTGGTAACCAGCAAGATGAGGAGTTCAGTTCTGGTAAGCCAAGTTGGACCAGTGAGTATGGTGTGCGTGATATTGGCCAGCAGGACAAGGACTTTGATGTTGGGAAGTCAGGCTGGACCAGTGAGTATGCCATGGGTGACACCAGCCAGCAGGACAAGGAGTTCAGTCCCAGCAAACCAGCATGGACCAGTGAGTACACTGTGAGTGATGCCAGCCAGCAGGACAAGGAGTTCAGTCCTAGCAAACCAAGCTGGACTAGTGAGTACGGTGTGGGTGACAGCAGCCAGCAGGACAAGGAGTTCAGTCCCAGCAAGACAAGTTGGACTAGTGAGTATGGTGTGGGTGACACCAGTCAGCAGGACAAGGAGTTCAGTCCCAGCAAGCCAAGTTGGACTAGTGAGTATGGTGTGGGTGACACCAGCCAGCAGGACAAGGACTTTGGTGTTGGGAAGTCTGGTTGGAATGGTGACTACGGTGTGGGCAACACTGAACGAAAGGAGAGGGAGTTTTGTACTGGGAATCAGGATTGGGCCAGCGAATATGGCATTAGCTGTACAGACCAGGAGAGTGCCTTTTGCAGTGGAAGGAAAGACCAGTCTAGCATTGGGGATTCGCATTGCCTGGGTGGAGAGCCCAGTGCTGAGAAATCTGGCTGGAGTGGCTCTAATCTCCAGGAGAACAAGTCTGCTACCAGTAGCAGAAACTGGGCTGTTGAATTCAGTGTTGGAGGGGCTGAGCACCAGAACCAGTTTGGCATCATAGGGACGGACAGGGACAGCAGCATTGGTTTAAGCACTTTGAATCCATCCAGCTCAGCTGGGACTGTTGGTCCAGCAGAGCTCAGAGAGAGCCAGTCTGACTGGGTTGGTGAAGAGGGGATCGCAGGTCCAGTGATGCCCCAAGAGGCTGGAACAGGCCAGTCTGACTGGGCCCAGGATCTTGGCCTCAGACGCCTGGATATTTCCAGCAGTTGGGGAGCTGTGGGTTCTGATGACTGCACAGAGGGTGAAGTGGGACGGACAGACTGGGTCCAGGACCTTGGCATGAGCAGCCAGAATCCCTCTGATGGCCAGAGGCCTGGAGGCTTTGATATGTGCAGAGAGGAGCAGCTGGATTGGGCCCAGGACTTGAGCCCTATGTTTGGCATAGGGAACACAGTTACTTTCAGCAGCTCACAGGCCAAGGGCCTGGACAAGACCAGTGAGGCTGGAGTGGAACGAACAGATGAGGCTGGTGACAGTGGGAGCGATGTCATGGAACAAAGCCCTGACCTCAGCCTGCACATTGAGGAGCCGAGCATAGAAGATGGTGGAGACTCGGAGGATGGGTAAGGGCTATGCTGGGCATGTGAGGGTGGGGTGTAAGAGGGATGAACACCTTTGTTGGTGTCCTGGCTCCAATAGTAGCTCTTTTCAGTGGGGCCTATTGATGCTTAGAGCACTTGCTCTAGTTTAGGAAACCCATGGAGGGGACATCGGTATGGCCGAGAAGCTGTTTGGCTAAGTATGCATCTTATGGCAGGGAGTGCTGCTGCTGCGAGGCATCTGTGGGGAAGTTCTTCCCTGGGCCTTCTGCTGCGGACATGGAGGACCATCTTGTGCTGACTCAGTCATGGTAATGGGGTCAGGCTGTCTGCTGTGCAGTATCCTCCAGGACCCCTTTCTCCTCTTCTGCAGTCTGCTTGGCTTTAGTGGGCATCCCTCCAGGCTGAGGTGTGTTGGTTTAGGTGGCCCAACTTGCCATTGACAGCAGGATCTGGCCTTTCCACTTACTTCCCCCACCCTGCACCTTTTCACATGTCCAGGTCCAGAAGAGGACAGGTGGGCTGGACCAAAGCAATTTGATCTTGCTGTGGGGGAAGCCATGCTGCTTTGGGCCCTTTCCCTTGGCACTGCCTCTAATTCCCCACCTGCACCTCTTTCCCCCAGCCCTTGGGGACTATCTGGATACAGTGTTGAAAAATGTCTGCTGTGTTAGCCCTGGGCCTTAGCTCTCTATCTTCCTCACTCCCTGATGACTTCTTGTTGTGCCTTCTTCCACTCTCCCTGAGGACTGTTGTTGGCCTCATGCTGTAATATCCTGATTTCCTCTGAGTGACCTGCTGAGGCCCTCAGGGCAGGGCGCATTGGCTCTCAAGTAGGGCTTCCTCCTTCCTCCACTGGGGACCTGAGGACAGCCCTGCATTTTTCTGCTAACCCCCAGCATGTAGAACGAGACTTGCCTCTCCCAGTCAGGAGCTGAAATTCTAGCGCATGAAGGTTTGGCTGGAGTTGCTGAGGGGTGACATCATGGGCTTGGGAGTAACAGTCTGGCTTTTGGTAATCATGGGAGCTGGCTGGAAGCCTGGGGCTGGGTGGGGCCCTGAGCATGCTCCCTCCATAGGCGTGACTGGCTAGCATGGCTTTGTATGGCTCTTGTTGCGTTGCCCTGGCAGTGCCCTCTCCATAGGGCAGACCAGGTCCTGGAGAGCTGACAGCCAAAGCATAGCATCCTGGCTCCATGCCCACAGCAAAGGTCAGTGGGCTGCTGTCCCGTCTGCTGCTGGGAGAACGCAAGCTTCCCCATTTCCTGTTCTCTCCCCAGCATTTGTTGTTCCCCCTGCTGGCTGATGTTCCCACCAGCATGACAACCCCTGTGAAGAGCCTGCTGGAGTTGGAGGGGTTACTTGCCCGAGTAAGCCAGACTTTGGGCTTTTCCATGGCCAGCCCAAGTGAGCCCTGCCCCACAGCTGTCAGGGGGCTCCTCCAGGCTGGCTGGATTTCCAAGTCTGTCCCTGTAGCTGGCTTGGCTCCCAGTGTGGGCTCTGTATAACCTAAACGGTGTAAAACTATGTTCCCTGGGAACAGCTTCCACATGGGTTTTACACCCACTTCATGGTAGTGCTGCCTCCCAGCAAGTATTCCTGCCTCCCCAGAAGGTTTTTTTCCAGGCTCAGGATGCCTGAGCTTGGCCAAGACAAGGACTTCTGTGAGCAGTATCTTTTATTGAGCCAACTGCATGGTCGGGAAAGAGATTGACAAGCTTTCAAATGCCAGTCATTCTTCATCAGGTCACTACGAGCTTTGCCAAGTCACTTTCCCATGCTGTGCCTCAGTTTCCCTAGGTGGATAATGACACTGCTGTAATGCATGTCATGAGGCTTGATATGGGGCATTCAGTCCTGGGCTTCTGACAGCACTTCAGCAGCAGAGGGTCTGGGAAGAGAGCGAAGGAGCCGGGGAGAAGAAAGTTATGGGATTATGGGAGTGCGGGTCTGTGGAGGGCAGAGGAAGAGGGGGAAGGAGAGGATTCTGTGATTGAGAGTGTGGGGCCGTTGGGGAAGGGAGCATGAGCCTCTGCGGCAGTGAACAGGCCAGGCTTTCACTCTTGTCTCCCCATGCAGAGGCCCTGTAGGCTCACGGCTCTCTGGCCCCAGCTTGCTGCTGGAGGAAATACTGGCCAACGGCTCTGTCCAGCCAGCCCAGCAGGAGAGACCTGCCTCACCACAGACCAGCCACGTGGGAGAGGAGCAGGGCCTGAGCAACACTGCCAGTGACCAGGCATTGGAGGTTGACGGCCCTGCCCAGGCTGCTGGAGATGGAGGGCCCCCCCAGCCTGATGATGCAGATGGGAGCTGCCTACCAAAGCAAGTGAAGAGGCTGAGCCAGCCAGAGTGCAGGGGGAGCCCAACCGAGAGGCGTCGGCTGTCCCAGGGTCCGCTCCCAGCACAGGACTTCTCCTTTCTGGAGGTAAGCATGACACGGGCTTTCCAGCAGAAGCTTCTTCCAAGCCCACCCTGCACAGGGGAGCTTTGGACAGGTTCTGGATGGCTGTATCCCACCACCATCCCCCTGGCATCCCCTCTGGCTGGCCCCCTGTGAGCAAAGCTTGAAGCCTTTGCTGGCCCCAGGGAGTGGAGGCCTGCATTGTGTGTTAAATGGCCCTTCCAAAGGGAGAGGACCCTCCGTTGATGGGACACCGTGTGGTGGTCAGAGGAGGGGGGCTGTGAGGAGGACTTCTCAGGGGTCCCTCACCTCCCAAGTAGAGCTTTCAGGTCCTGGGCCCCATTCTCCCAGCAGTGGGGTGACTGTATCTGGGTTGGGATTCCTTGGTGTTGCCGGGATCTCACAGATGCCACCCTGAGACCTGCATTGTATTGTGAGATCTGAGATACGCTGGACTGAGTCCTGATGCAGCACAGGGAACTTCACGGGGCTCATGATTGTGTCTTGGGGCTGAAAGGGAGTAGAAGGCGGCCCTGGGGCTGCGGACAATGGGCTGAGTCAGTGTGGTGTTATCTTTGTGTGGGGTGTCCTCCTTATAGTTTCATAGTTTCTAGGGTCAGAAGGGACCTGAGCAGATCATGTAGTCTGACCCCCTGCCATGGCAGGAAAGAGTACTGGGGTCAAACAACCCCAGCAAGGTGTACATCTAGCCTCCTCTTAAAGACCCCCAGGATAGGAGCCAGCACCACTTCTCTTGGAAGTTGGTTCCAGATCCTAGCTGCCCTGACAGTGAAGTAGCGCCTCCTGATATCTAGCCTAAATCTACCCTCTGCCAGCTTGTGACCATTATTCCTGGTCACTCCTGGCAGTGCTTGGGGGAACAGAGACTTCCCCAGTGCCTGCTGATCCCCCCTGACTAGTTTGTAACAGGCCACTAGATTTCCCCTCAGCCTTCTCTTGTGGAGGCTGAACAGGTTCAGGTCCTGTAGCCTCTCCTTGTAGGGCCTGCCCTGCTGCCCCC